TAGAAAATGAGTTTTTTTATCAAAAAGCAGTTAATTAAACTTGCTCTACCCAGGGATATGTGGGTGAACCTGTTTAGGGGTTGGCAGGGGTGGTTTCTACCCGTAAGAGAGCATTTTGTAAATAGAAGCACGATGCTCACAATATTTTTTAGTGTTTTGTCATATTTCCAAGTTTGGTTTAAATTGGTGAATGGCTCTTTAATATGGTTACTTGTTAGATAGCTTGGGCTGAATGATGTGGTGCTTTTTAAATTCATAAAATTTGAAATTTTCAAATTTGTGTAACTTCGTGAAAAAAAAAGATATCCGAGCATACTCAACGGCATTTGAAAGAAGAAAACTCATACTTTAATTTGATGTATACAGTTTTTTGAAAAAAAATTTCTTTTCTTTGCTACATAACCTCAAATATAGGCAAAAATCGCGTTTTTTGCACTTTAAGGTTAGGATATCTCGAAAACCGGAGCCACCAGAGTAATTCTGACCTCGGATTCGGATTCAGCGCGCAAAAAACCTTCGGAAAACTATACTCGGGTTCTTGGTAAAATATTTTTATCAAATTCTGTCGGCCTGTGTAATGTTTTTCACGATTATTTTGCATATAATCTACTTTATAATGAATTTGTTTTGTTATGTAATTTTTTGTGCAATTAAAATAATATATTAGTTAGATTAATAATGTAGATCACTTAGATTATGTATCTTTAATTATAATTATTCTATCGAATATATATTAAGACATATGATTTATAAAAAAACATTTTATTCTAATTGTTATCCTTGTATAATAAAAAAATGCATTACATACAAAATAATCATGAAAAATATTATTTATACTTTTGAAAGTGAAATTTCCCCATTAAATAGAATATACTATAAAAATATTATAGATTCAAGTAGCATGCGAAAATATCTTTGATATAGAAAAGATTTTTTTACTATAAATTTAATTTTTTTCGTCTTATAAACTAATTTTTTTTTATAAATTACATAAAATGGGTGTATAATTGTATGGGATTCATATTAAAAAATACAAAATTTTAATAAATATTAATTTTCATATTTTATTATGCAAATCCGGCAGGATAGACGATATTCAATGAAATTCTGATGAAAGAATTAGAATGTAGAGAAAAAATACTTGAAAAAAAAAATTCTACCATATTTAGAAGTGGTGTAAATTAATTATGCAACTAACGTAGCTCGAAAGCTTCGAAGCCGTGAGGAGAGGATCATTCCCCTGACCTCCACCACCGCCGCGGCGGGTGCTTAAAAATATTAACTTTGCTTATAGAAATGAAAATCCTGCACAACTTAAAAAAATTCGGAGTATAGGTAAATTCTTTTCAAATCGAAATCAGTAATTAAATTTGAAAAAAGTTGTAAACAAGACGGGTTATGGATTAAAAACCAAAATAATATCTTGGCTCCTAATTGTCGTAGAAAGATCCATTCTTTAAAAATAAAAGGTTTTTCAATTGCCAATCGAATGAATTTTATTATATTCCAAGATGTTTATGGCTTCATTGTTAAATTCTATTTTACAACTAAGCAATTTCAGTTTTTCGTCTTTTTCTCGGAAACTAATTATCGAAAAATTATCAAATTTTTTTTACCGATAGATTTCATCGTCTTTCATAGGTTACATTTGATCTTTTTTTCGAAATCTGATCAGGACGGCCGCGGTACACCGTAAAAGTTGAAACTTTGTCGCGCTCTAGCTCGTAAACAATTAACTTTCGAAAAATCGGACCGGCTTTCTATTATACGTTTTTTCAAAGATGTATCGGCCCTGAAAATTTAGACAAAATTTATTGAAAATTAAAGAAGATATAAGCGTTTGTTTTTTTTGCAATCTCGGAAACAGCTCAAGATATTGTTATTAATAAAAAAAATTTTATTTTCGAACATGTTTATCCTTATGTAAAATTATCTCAGGAATCGAATTCCGTTGAACTTATATCGATAGGATAATTAGGAAAAAAGATATAAGCGAATAACTAAAAAAAGTGCCTTTTTTTTTGCAATAAATCGTTGATAAAATAATGTTCCGGAAACTTTTGGAAATCAAAACTATTTTTCCAATTATCTACGTGTTATTCCGCGTCGAAATAAAAAAAATCTCGCTGTTCGCAAAAAATATAGATCAATATACTAGAATGACCGGATTATTCGTTTTTCATGACTTCTTTCTTATACGAGGAGGGTCAATAAGTCTTTACAAAATCCAAGAGATGGCGCTTGTCACGATTAAATTATGTTTTTTTTGTGAGCGTTGGTTGAACAAAAAGTTATTGGTTTATTTAAAAAATGGAAAAAACAGAGTTTCGAGCGGTGATAAAACATTTTCATTTGAAAGGCCTTACACCAAAAGAAATCACAGTTGAGTTTTTTTTTTTTTATTTATGCAATTTCAATCCTATATATGGATTATTTTGCTACAGTTACATACATAATATTACAATAGATTTCTTATAAAATGCATGAGATTTGAAATTAAATTGATAAGTTACAATTAGTTAGGAAGTTACAAATAGATTTCGCAATATTGGCATTTATATTAGATAGTAACACAGTGCTGGAACAAGGAAGGAACATTTTAGATTGTCTAATATTTGTGATAAATCTAGATCGTTGGTAATTGTAGAGTGGGCTTTGCCAGAGAATGTGATCAAGGTCTTGATACTCATAGTTGCATTCACATATGGTATCTTTGCAAAGCTTTATTTTATATAAGGATGACTTCAAATTGTAGTGGCCTGATCTACATCGATTGATAGTTGTAATGACTTTGCGTGAGACGTTTAGATTAGAAAACCAGGGCTTAGCTCGGTTGTTGTGAAAATTATCGAAATACAGAGCACCTTTGAATGTTCCTTCTTCACAGATAATTTCGTGAGTGTTATTAATGGCATGTTTCTTAAGGTACATCTTGAGATCAGTAAAAGGAGTCTTGAGATTGGAATCTGGAATAAAGGCGGTCGACTGCTTTGCCAAGGAGTAAGCTTTATCGTTACCGCGAATACCAGAGTGCGATGGAATTCAAACGAGCTTGAGTTGACTGTTATTTTTACTGGTTTTATAAAAATCCATAATATTTTGCCTTATTCTGTAAATGTGAGGGTTAACTTTGATACTAAGATTAATACTATTAAGGGAGAGTAGGGCACTAAGAGAATCAGTGAAGATTATTACATTTTGATTGGAATGATTAATAGCAATTTGAGTTGCATCACTGATGGCAACACACTCAGTCGTGAATACTGACGCACCAATGTCAAGACTCCTTGTCACTGTTAAATGAATTTAAACACAGCCGTACAACAACAAAAGATGAACCTCATTCAGGACGCCCCGTAGAAGTGAGTACGCCCGAAATGGTCAACAAAATCCACGATATGGTGTTGAGTGATAGAAGATTAAAATTGCGAGAATTAGTTGAGGCCACAGGGGTATCAGAGGGTACAATCATTTCACTTTTGAATGCAACATTGGGGATGAAAAAAATATCAGCAAAATGGGTGACACGTTTGCTCACTGTTGAAAACAAATGAACCTGCGTGGTCACCTCTGAGGCTCTTTTGGCACGCATACATCGTAATCCTGAAGACTTTTGGCATTGACTCGCAACTATAGACGAAACATGGGTACACCATTACACTCCTGAAACCAAAGAACAGTCCAAACAATGGATTACCGCAGAAGAACCAGCCCCAAAGAAGGCAAAGACAGTAAAGTCAGCTGGCAAGATTATGGCCACGGTTTTCTGGGATGCGTATGGAATCATCTACATCGACTACTTGGAAAAGGGCCAGACGATCACTGGACAATATTATGCGTCATTATTAGGTTAGCTGAAAGAAAAAATCAGAGAAAAACGTCCTCACTTGAACAAAAAAAAAATGCTTCTTCCTTTAAGACAATGCTCGAGTTCACACGTGTGCAGTTTCGATAGCAAAAATTAATGATTTAAAGTTCGAATTAATTGACCATCCACCATATTCGCCTGATTTGGCTCCCAGTGACTTTTTCTTATTTCCTAACCTCAGAAAATGGCTTGCCGGACAACGATTCACGTCGAATGAAGAAGTCATAGCCGAAACAAATGTCTATTTTGAGGGTTTTCAGAAATCATATTTTTCTGATGGTTTAAACAAACTGGAAGGCCGTTAATAAAATGTATCGACCTTCAAGGAGATTATGTTGAAAAATATTACATATGCAAAACTTTTTTATCCTTCTTTTTGTAAAGACTTATTGACCTCCCCCCCCCCCCTCGTTTTTACGCATCTAAGTGAGCTTCAACGGATTTTATCGAGTCCTATTGATAATAGATGCGGGATGGGGGGGGGGGGTGCCAAAAAAGTGTAGCAGGCTAGGCACCTATCATCAACCCTCCGAGACATATTGACTGAGGTTCTTGATACATATAACAGTTTTTAGTTCTGGACCTCATAACGTGTAATTTTCGAGCCACATTCCTAATGAAATAAAATAAAATAAATTATGATGACTGAGCTAACTGTTCTATTCATTTTTTAAAACTGAGGTAAAATTTTCATGTTCTAACAGAAAACTATTCGATATTTATAGACTTAGATTGTAAAAATAGATACTTTCTTCTACTTTTAGGGATCATCGCAAACAACGTGTTAGCCATAATGAAACTCCCCCCCCCCCCCCCGCACACACAGCTACTCACAAACTTTCCTATCACAAGCTAGCCGCGGTTCATCAACCTTACTCCTTGTCACTTTGCACTCCTCTATGGATACTATCATCGACTATACTCAACGCTCGTATCCACTATTCTGCGCGTAATAACGTGTTTACGGGGTATTGAACTAAGAAATAATATATTTATGCACGGAAGTTCGAAGTTATAATCCTTAATTATTTAATTTTTATTTTATTACAGAAATTTATATTCCCTTAAATTAAGTTGACGAAATTGAATGCGTTATTATTATTTATATATTGTTATTTATATACCTTTCCAGACGATTGCAGATATTATCAGAACTTGTCTAGGACCACAAGCAATGTTGAAAATGTTAATGGATCCTATGGGCGGAATCGTTATGACTAACGATGGTAATGCCATTTTAAGAGAAATAACAGTTCAACATCCAGCTGGCAAATCAATGATTGAAATAGCAAGAACTACAGATGAAGAAGTTGGTGATGGAACAACATCAGTAATTGTTTTAGCTGGCGAAATGTTAGCGAATGCGGAACCATTTTTAGAACAAGGATTGCATCCTACTATCATTATCAAAGGGTATAAACAAGCACTTGAAGATATAATTGTTGCTTTAAATGAAAAATTAAGTGTACCACTTGACGTTAAAAATAGAATAAAATTTGCTGAAATAATAAAATCTTGTGTAGGTACAAAATTTTTAGGACATTGGTCAGATCTAGCTTGTCAGATAGCACTTGAAGCAGTTGAGACAGTAGTGTTAAATCATAATGATCATCAAGAAATTGATATAAAACGTTACGTAAAGGTAATATAATTTATTTCTATTATCTTAATTACCATTATATTAACTATAACGAGGGATAAAATATTCATATTTAATACCACGTGGAATCCTGTTTTTATTTACTGAACTTCCATGATGCGAGGCTGACCGCAGCCTTGATTTGCAATGGGTGACTTTGCAGGCGGATGTTTGTCGTTATGCATGTAATGAAAATATGCACGAAATCACAAAAAAGAAAGGCGCTAGACCAAGTGTACAGAGATTGCAAATAACGAAAATCAAGTATTAGCTTTGAAAAAATAACGTATTGGTAGTACGCGCACTATTTATTTCTTTTAAAATAAAAGAGTGAAGGAGAAAGAAAGCAATTACGACTGGAATCCATTTTTCACAGCTAATGCTATTATTCCACAAAACACACCTCGTTTCGGCAGTTTATATCGTAGAGCCTGGGTGATTCTTGTCAGAATCTTTTCAAAACCTATTGAGTGAAAAGTATTTCTCGAAAGTTATACTTATTTGGTGAAAAGTACTTGTTTTTTTACCATGAATTACTCTCTTTGCTTCTTCATACTGTGAAGAATCATTTTCTTAAATCGCTTTTTCGTGGAATTTGTCATTTCCAACTTTAAATATGATGACGAATCATCGGCTGATCCTGTTTAATGTTTAGGTATAAATATAAGTTTTTGTTTCTTCCATCTAACCGGGAAGCTCCTTCGGCTAGGCATTTATTCAAAATACTTCGCAAAATCTGTGGGGTTTTTTGTGCTAATAGTTGTGATTGGAAATTTTGGTTGATTAACCGCCGGTTAAATTTTGTGCCATAGCTTACCTTGTGATAATTTGTTTCGACGGCTTCGTTCATCAGGGCACCATATTTGCCACCTTCGGTTATAGCAGTCGTTGGAAGTTAGAATGGGAAACAAGAAAGTTTGTAAGCACCCACCGACTGCGAAAAATGTGAAGTTTGCATGTCCAAAAGCAAGATAGCATTGGTTAAAATGGCGGTTCTAATTGCTTGTCTTTTGTCCTTGCTCCTAAGTCTCGTCCAAAAGTAAAGGTAGACCGAGTCTAGCTTTGGTTGGCAACGTTTCTTCTACGACAGGGTACGAGCGGATATCAGCAAAAATGAAAAAATCAACCGATCATTATTTTTTATATTTCAGTGCAATTACAAACATGTGTTGAATCCTTTTATGTGAGAGTGCTAAGTCTCGTGGTTTACAAATAATGTGGTGAGTGTAAGTGTGGTACTCAGGCCGCGGTCGATGATATGCCACAACCTACCACAGCTGCTTACCGGCTACTTCTTTGACCGGGTTATCTTGGTTACACCAGATTCTTCGATGTCGAGAAGAGATCGTCAGTGTGTGCGCGTGAGTGTAACGTCTTTCCCGCACGTCCTATTTTGCGTTTTACAAATTTTTTGGGTTTCTCTCTCTCTCTCTCTCGCTCTCTCTCTCTCTTATTTCTATTGTCATTATAAAATTAACAAACGGGTAACAATCGTTATCAATAATTTTACACTTATGTACACTTAAATCGTTATCTCGCAACGCAATTTTAATTGTTTGAATAAATTATAAATTTTTTATTTATTGATAACTCAGTTAAAAATCACTTATCAAAGTGTCAAATTCTTGCTTCTCTTTTTAAGGTGCTAGGATTGCTGTTATATATTCAAATTTGCATATTTATTTGTTGCAAAACTACTAGCGATATTTACTTGCAAATTAGATTAAGTTAACAAACACGTATTGAATGATTATAATAACTCGAGATTCAAGATTAGCGCATGGAAATTGACTCAAAAATGTTTTTGTTTGTTAAAAAAAATTTTTCATTGTAAACAATAAATTTCCCACACTTCTGTCGTCACACTCCTTATACGACTGGTGGTATGATCTTGATTTCTAGGGAACTGCTCTAACACATTTACGAGTACTACATGTGGATGGCACCGTAGTTTTGAGAACGCTTTTCCTCAGTTTTCCTATACCTGACAGATTGCTGTTTTGCAGTGGGAAGCAAATCAGATTGGATCGTTACAATAGATATTTTTATTTATAATTAAAAAACAGCTTATATTTGCATAATATATAACATGGCCAATATTAATTTGCATAATTACTTTTTTGTATCATTACATAAACTATAGATGGAATAAATTTTTACACAAAATTAGATAAATATTGAACATAAATTAAACAAAAATTATAATAAACGTAATTTTCTAACTAGAATATTTTCTTCAAATCTGAATTAGATATGTACACTATTACATCTCTTTACAGTCAACAGTAACTTAATCCAATAGTTCTCCGAGACACTTTGTAATCTTTCCACATTCGATTGAAATCATGATGTGTTGATTACGTAGCCTGTTTCACTACAAATTGTAGGCCCCTTTTATGATTCGTACAAAACTATTCAATGTTATGACAAATTATAAGAACTGTTGGTTTTATTGAGATTTTTAAGTATTCATAGCTGTTTTGGAATTTCCAAGTGTCAGATTTATAATTTAGTTAGCTCTCCAACAAGAAATAATTATTAATGACTTTTTTAAAATTCTTGATAGTATCTTCATAATCATAATCATAATCATGCATACAGGCTGAGGAAAAAGTATGAAAACCCCGGAAAATTCGGAAAACCACATGAGGTTAGTCATGAAACAAAGGTTTCTCTATGTAACTTTCAACGAGGAACCTAACGGTGACTTGACCTTGAACCTCATTTTCAAGGTCAACCTGATTTTTTCATATGGAAACCCCTATTTTTTATACTAGAATCAAAAAGAGCGATAAATTTTAAGGATGGGAACGATTCAAAGATAGTGTGACCCCTAATCCTCCTTGAAACCATGTATTTTCAAAATCATCACATCTTAATGCCTGGATAGCTGAAACAATCTCATTTCACAAAAGTTACAGCGTTCAAATTTCTTGTGATAAAAAAGGGACCTATTATTGTATCGCCTACCATTTATGCCCACACGTTTAATTTTTGAGGATATTGAGTGTGACTTTCTCTCATCTAATAAAGATTTTGTCATACCAATATCTAAGGTTATGGCGATTGACTTCGCCATTTAATTTACATGTAGCTTCGTCTGACAAAACAATATTTTTTAAAAAATACAAAAAACAGGGTTGATTTTTGCTAGAAAACGAATAAAAAGCAATTTGAATATCTGTCTTTCTCGTATTTTTTTAGAATTTTAAAAAAAGAAGACAATTCTTTTTTCACACTGCACAGTTCATCTGGATCTCATTTTTTTCGCAGTCTTCATCTTTCATTTTAGAAAATAGAAAGTCACTACTGTGAGCATAAAATATCATTAAAATTGTCAAAAACTGGAAAGTCACGTTTTTTTCGTCGAAAGTTACGTTTTCTCCTCTTTCATGGGCTGCAAAGCTAATTGTTTATTAGAAATACAGTATTATTTTGAAGGCATTTGAAAGAAGTGAAAATTTAAAAATAAAATAGAAGTGCTTTTACAAATAATAATTAAAAAATTGTTATCATTTAGATTTTAAAATCTTATCTGTTCTTGACTTCTACTAATTGGAAGTTGGAACCATATTTTGTTGTTTTCATGGTATATACGGCTCTAGAAAAAAAAATACTTGACCAATAAAAAAAAAATAAATTCGACAAATGCGTCAAATATTTCATAGTTTTGTTTAGTTACAATAACAATATTAAATTTTTGTTTTTTTCAAACTTTTAAAATGTTTCGTTTCTTCGAAAGAGATCAAATATCTCTTCTAATGATGAGGGGTTAGGGTGATCAGCAAAGGTCGTATGCTAATGTTTTTAATCTCTTTAATAGAACGTTTCAAAACGGCGATGGCGAAACTCCTTTGTCTAAATCCACAGTTTTAAAAACCTTAAGACGTTTTCAAGAAACGGGGTCTATTAAAAATCGTTCCGTCACTGTAAGACCACCAACAGCAACAAATGAAGAAAAATCTTTAGATGTTTTACTGTCTTTTGTGGAAAAACCGCATGAATCATCTCGATCAGTAGCTTTACAACAGAAGATCGATCAAAAATCTGTTCTTAAAATTTTAAAGGTAAACAAGTTTCATCCTTATAAAATGAAACTTAAGCAGGAATTGAATGAGGATGATCCTGATCGTCAAGTAGAATTTTGTAAGACAATGATGCAAATGATTACTGAAAATCCAATATTTTTACAAAACGTTGTTTTTTCAGACGAAGTCAAAATAAAGAAATAGAGAAAAAAATTTTTTTCGGTTTTTTAGCGAATTAAAAAAATTAAGGAATTTAACTTTTTTTTTACGCTTAGTTTTAGTTTTTTTGTGATTTACTACGTCCCTAGACATTTTAAAACGAAGCGTAAATAAAGTTAAATTCCTTAATTTTTTTAATGCGCTGAAAAAAACGAAAAAAAATTTTTTCTCTATTTCTTTATTTTGACTTTATTTTCGTATTCTTGAGCACAAAATGAAACTTTTTTTCTCCTTGGCATTTTTTTCCAAAACGTACGCAAGTCGAAGTTATTGAGGATTGAAAAAAAAGGTTATTTTTTTACAAAAAACGCCGTAACTTGGTTAAAAAACATCGGATAGAACCCCGCGGGGGCTAATTTTAAAGGGAAAGACATTACCCTCCGAACCCCTCCGGTCGATTTGCCTTCCACCGCCTGGTTCTAAATTGGCATTGATTTAAGTCGAGGTTAAAAACATTGAAATTGTTTTAATCAGTTTTTTTACTGTAAAAAACGCATATTTTCATTTTTAAGTCTCTGCACGTCTTAAATGGAAGCTTTTGCAATTACCTTTAAAATGCCCTGCTGTTTTTTGTGATACGATGATTTCCGACCGAGATACAAAACTTTCAAGTTTGCCTAATTTTGAGGTAAGCATGGCAAAAGTGATTGACGGGCAGTGTATATATATATATATATATATATATATATAGAGAGAGAGAGAGAGAGAGAGAGAGAGAGAGAGAGACGAAGAGAGAAGAGGGCGTGCGAAGCATCG